CCCCCCCCCCCCCCCCCCTAAATCTTTCTATGCCCATTTTTTTTGCTCTCTCCCTAAATAAGAGAGAGGATAAAGGGAGAGGGCGGATAGCGAGAGATAGAGAGGGCGAGTAGAGAGAGGGAGTAGAGAGGGCGGGTAGAGAGAGAGGATAAGGGTATTTTACTCTTAATTTTTTGATTTTTTGACTGGGAGAGTAAATACAAGAGGAAATAATGTTTGGATGTAAGATGTGATACTAAAACTATTAGAGGGAAATATGTCAACAAAGTATATTTTTGAGGTATTTATAATTTTCTTTTAGAACTACTTTCTTTGTAATTTCAATTACTTTTGCATTAATCCTTTTTCATTTATATATTATGTTCCTGCAGGAGCAATACTATATATTCACTCCTTGGACAAAGGACCTGCTTTGTACAATTTTTTTGTCATAAATTTTGGGAAACATCTAAGAGTTACAAGAGGATTTATTTCAAAAGAAATTTTTTGATTTTGAGATGTTTAAGAACTCACCCTCTAAAAATTGAACAGTCTCCATTCAATATTGAGATGTTATTTTTCTCGAATGTGTAGGGAGTGTGATATGAAAATACAAGGTTAGTCTATAGATTGAAGATGTTAGATCCCCAAAATTTAGTTTCATGAGGATCTATTAAATAGGATTTTTACCAAAGGAGTAAATATATATTATGGTCGCACATGCGCATGAAATTTTTTTGCCTTAATTTCTAAGCATAAAAGAAGCTTGAATGGTTTGGGTTCGCCTTCTTGCCTCGGTGTTTGGTATGTGATTTATATGAGCGTAAAATCCAAAAGCTTCTTTCTTTAACGCTACGTCCTAGATCCTCTCCCGTACTAACTCACCCAAAAAACATTAAAAAGTCCAAAAGCTTTTACACAATAACTAAACACAAACGGCTGAAAAGAAACGAATGGCTTGGAGCAACCATTTCCACACACAAAAAAAATTGTATAGGGGAGAGGCCCTAAACATTCTTAGGGCAACCATTTCCACACAAAAAAAATTGTATAAGGGAGAGGCCCTAAACATTCAAATTAAGGTGCACCTCAAAATTTTCTAATTAGGTACTAAAATAAATTTTAAAATAATACTAAGAATTTTTTACAACAAAATTACATGTCATGATAAAATTTTAATGTGCGCCTTAATTGGATTGTTTAAGGTTGCACCCTTATATTATCAAAGAAAAACTTGGAAATTGATTATCTCTAACTCGAATATCACGGATACAGGAAAGTGCTTTCAAATTCTAAAAATTATTTGTATTGTAACACAAATACACTTTTTTTTTGTAATGTTTAGTAATACTAAAATACTTTTTCTGTAATTTTTAGCTTAAGTTATCGCATATCGTATATCTATCACATGTAGATTTGTACCATTTTTGGAACTTCAAATCTCGCGATAAAATATCTAAGTTGAGTTTTTTTTTGTGAGGCTTCAAAGTGCGGCCTTACCAATTTTCTTAGAACCAGGGCCTCACTGAAACCTCGTCCTTTTTTTAAGTACATCTAAAGTGTAAATATATTTATTTATATTATACTTATTTTGAGGTTGGTCACTAGGAGATTATATCCCAAATTTTATAGTCCTACAAATATTTTTTGGTAGGATTTTTCCATGAGGGAGTGAATGGGCCATGTTCTCCTGCGGAGCTGGAAATTTTTTGGCTAAAAGTATTACACCACTTGTAAACAGTGGTCGTACCCACAAAATAATGGGCACTCGAATAGAAAAGGTAAGTTTTAAAATTTTTATTTTTGTAATGGATGTAGTGTCCATAAAGCGTATGCTTTATAAAAATAAAAATAAAGCCTCGCCTTGTATCTTCGTATTTTGGGCATCAAAAAACTTGATGGCTCTAAAATTAATTTTCAATACCGACTATGAAATCTGAAGCTTAAAAAATGCTATGGATATTATAGATATGTGAACACTTATCTTTAGGGCTAAGCCTAGATAGTGCACTATAATATACATTACATTTAGGGTTTGGAATATTAATTTCTTTTCACAATCATCATGGTCAAAGGCCAAGATATTCAATTTGAAAGTTTTTCGGCATCAAAACTACAATTTTCGGTAAGTTTTGTAGTAAATATTTACTTATTTTGATAGGGTTGCAGCCCCATCAAAACATTTTCCCTTCAAAAATAATGTTAGTCAAATTGAACATAGACGAACCAACAATCAAACCTAAGTGTGCATATACTGAGTTTTTTTTTTTTCAGAACAAGACAACTCGTCTATTGATTCTAAATGAATCCCAAATTTAAAATAGAATAATATTCATGCAATTATATGGTTAGAGGGACCAGATGTACAACGTGATCCTGCAGTAGTGAACTATTCAACCTCTATATTGTGTTATATCAGGTGTTTGACATGATAGATCCCGACCCTACTTTAACGTTGTTAATCGAAATCCATAATTGTTGGGTCGTTTTTCTTGTCATCATTCACATTTGGTAATTCAATATTTAATCTTATTCTCATGATTCACAATTGCGTAATCTCCTTTAGTCTAATCCTAGGTCTAGTCATGAACCCCACTAAACGTAACCCAAAAACCTTGGACTTGAACTTTAGGGCAAAAATGGGTCCTACCTCATAATCCTGCATCACACCTAGGCATATAACTTGACAATGTGGGACTTCTAGTAGCTAAGGGGAAGTTAGTTACCACCTAATAGTTTATCATTCGTACACATAAGTTGTTAAGGTGAGGCCACTAGTGGAAAAGAAATGCTGCTTCTCGCCCAAGGTCTCACAATATTTTGTATAGGGTTCGGATCCACCTAGGATCTAGATCCAAAAAGTATATATCAGATTTAGATTCAGATTTGGATCGGAATCCAGATCTGAATAT